CGTGACACCCACTCTTCACGGCCGCTCAGCTCCAGGTCCCGACAGTTGTTTATCTTAATGACACCTAAGAGCCAAAGGTCTGGCAAGAATGGTGGCCCGTGTGGAGGGCACAGCATGAGCACAGGTGTGGGGGGAGGAAGGCAGAGGTGTGGGCATGCGGCCTGGCTCAGAAGGGCGGGAACCGGCTCCATCCAGCCGGGCCCTGCAGGGCCTGTCCTAGGACGCCCACCTGGTGTTGCCAGGATTCGGCCTGGACTTCTGCCACCGAGGGGGATGAGATGAGCTGGTGACAGTCGGTGGGGGATTAGTTCCTTGGTTCCCCAGTTCAGTCACAGTCCCTCTTAAGCTACAGTCACCCCCACCTTGGGTGTGGCCCCCATGGGCAGGCTCAGACCGGAAGTCCGGCTGGTCCCCACAGCTGGCTCATCCATTCGGGCGCCACCGCATCTCAGGAGGGGGCGAGGCTGTGGGATCCCAGCCTGGCTGTGTGTGGTGTTGTGGGGGCTCTCTCTCTGTGTTTGTCTCGGGGGGGGGGGGGGGGTGCTCCGGCATCTGAGAGGGCTTTGTGTCCTCGTCACTGATTCTGTGTGGGGTGGTCTCCGTGTCTCTGAGAAGGGGCTTTGTGACTGTGTCACTGTGAGTCTGTCTGGTGTGGGGGGACCCTCTGGGCCTGAGGGGAGACTCCCTGCAGGTGGGGCTTCAGATGAGGCCCCGCCTGACTGTCCCAGCATCCCTGGCAAATGACCACCACGCAGCCTCTTTGGTCCCTCAGGGTGTGAACTGGGGTACCACCTGCCCAGGGGAGGGAGGTGAGATGATGGCGCCCTGTCTCTGCACAGGTGGTTATATTTGGGGATCTGTACCCCCTTTTCCTTGGCTCTGGGGAGGTCTGTTTCTGGCACTTGCTGAGGAAGGGGGGAAGCCGACTTGCTTTTCTGGAAGCTTCTCTCATCCCTCTCCTGTTCCTCAGTGGAGACAGGGCCACAAGGCAACAGGGGGCAGACCAAGGGGCAGATGTGGCCCGAAGGGACTGGGGGAGTCTGGGCGCCCTGCGAGTGCCAGAGACAGGCCAGCAGCAGGCAGCGTCGCTTACCTGGAGGTTGCATTCTGTTCTCACCTCCATTTTACCAACGAGGAAACACAAGCACAGAGAAGGGAAGAGATTTGCTCAGGGGTCACACAGGAAACGTGGCCGAGGCAGGCACTTGAAGGAGGGGGGCTGGTGGCCCTGGTTGGGGCAGGGTAGGAAGTGACCTGTGGCCTGTGGTTCCGACATTCGTTCAGTCCCTGGAACTGGCTCCCTCCCTTCAGTTTGCCCCCAAAGGCGCCTGAGAACAAGGGGTGAGATATCACCACACCCCACGTCTGCCTCCGCTCCCCAGACATCCGAGGGCTGAGGCCCCAGCAGCCACCCAGCTACTCCCCATCCACCTGACAAACCCTGAGGACCTGCTCTGGACACCAGCCTCTGATACGCTCTTTCCTGGACCTCATCCGGTGCCGGGCCCCAGCTGGGAGCAGGCTGCTGTCCTGTCCCCACCCCCAGAGGAACTCCCAGTCAGAAGGCGGGCAGGGGTGGGGGTGGGGGGGCAGCTGCCTCATCAGGAAATTATGGCCAGGCCTGATAAGCCGGAGCCGAGGGAGAGGCACAGGAATCGCACTCACCACGATGCGATGCGCCCGAGAAGGCTCCCTGGAGGAGGGAGGTTTTCTCCGCCAAGACCTGGCCTGGGAGAGCACAGGCCCTGGGCCTGGGCAGATGAGGGTTTGAGCCCCGGCTCTACTCAGCCCCATCCTCCGGTCCTCTGTGGCCAGGACAAATGATTTTTGTCTCTCAGGGCCTCCATTTCTCCATCTGTAACATGGGTTACCATGCTGGTGTGGGCTGTTCTTCTCCCCTGGCCAGCCGGAGCCCTGGGGGGCCCAGCCATGCCCCCTCCTTGAGGTGTCGCTATCACTCTCCTTAGCCCTCATTGGGTGGGGTGTCTGCAGTGGGGCTGTACTGTGCCCCACTGATCCCAAGCACCCATGACACTTGGCACCAAAAGGCCTGTGATGAGCACGGACAGCCTAGCAGGTACTATGCTCGGGGCTGGGGATGCCACATGAACAAGACGAAGTCCCCACCGAGCCTGTTTCACAGGTAGATAAATGCAGTGAAGGAACTGAAGGGTGATGGCATGGTGACTGCTCTTCAGACACTGTGGTCAGTGACGGCCTTCCTGAGGTGACACTTCAGCTACGACCTGCGTCTGAGAAGAGCCAGATTTATGCAGCTGTGGCGGCACTGCCTTGCCTGTCAGCGGAGCAGCAGGTGCAAAGGCCCTGAGGTGGCGTGTGCTTGGTACATTGAACAGTGGAGGCTGGTGTGGCTGGAGCAGAATGAGAGGGAGGCGGCGGTCAAGGTGCTAATAAGGCCTAGGCTGTGCAGCGTCTGTGGGCCACGGCGAGGACTTGGGCTTCCTCACTTAGCTCAGTGGGGCCCACAAGTGAGTTTTGAGCAGAGCGGGGGTGGGAAGCAACTAGATCTGGATATTTCTGGGTGTAGCTGTCCAGGGGTGGCAGCTGTTTTGATGCTGCCCACCTTGGGGCTCAGGATACCGTTTTCCGACTCCTCACCCTATTGTGTGTGTGTGTGTGTGGGGGGGGTCCCTGTGAGCACCACCATTCTCTGTGCCCTCCCTCCTTCAGGTCTCCCTGGTGCCTGGGAAGGGCAGCGGCTGTGGCCTCCCTGCCCAGCTCTCCCCTTGGTGCCTGTGGGTTCCAGTGGTAATGGGCTCGCTTGCAGAGGCTCCAGGCCAGCTGGTTGTGATGCTGTCTCTGTGCTGTCTTCACAGGTTTCCTCAGCCTTGTCTCGAACTTGTGAAGTGGGATGAAACACCAGCCTCAAGGGCTGCGGGGAGGTCATGGGAGCCCCCACCAACCTTCAGGCAGACAGATGGCCCAGAGCAGTGGTGAAGGTTCTCACCTGGTGTCCCAGACTTAACACCAAGGACTGTCTTACTCTGGAACAAGGACCTTCCTACTTCTTTAGTCCCAGCACCTCCATCCCTTGATAGGCTCTTTTCTGTGAAAACTTTTGAATAGCGCTGGCCTGTGGATTCAACAGTCCAGAAGCCACTGGTAGACAGCCCAGGCACACAGTAGGTGCTCACTAAAGGGTAGGGTGAGGCTGTCAGCGTCATGTCTAGCCACAGCAGATCTCTTGCCATCTTGTGGATTCAGCTGTACTTTTTGACCTCTGGGCATTACTTCTTGGTGTTCCCTTAATCTCCAATGCCTTTCCCTCCACCTTCTCACTCTGGAGAGTGTTCAGCAAACTCTTACAGGCCCTTACTCTGTGCCGTGCTGAAGACACAAAGGGAACAGGGAGGCCTCTGGAGCACATGGTCGAGTGGAGACAACCTGAGAGATGCCTGCGGGGCAGGGACAGTGGACAGCGTGAGGGTGGGGGGCGCTTGGCTCTGGAGCTGACCACAGCTTCTCTGGGTTCCTAAGGCTCATCCCCACCTGGTGCTGCTCCCAGGACCTTCCCATACCCACCGTGAGCGCCTTTGTACAGGCTATATTGCTGCTCTCTCATGGGAGGGGCGGTGGCACTGTTACCCCTCTTTACGAAAGTGGGGACTTGGGCTGGGAGAGGCGAGCTGCTTGTCCATGGAGGATGAGGCAGAGTTGCGACTTAAGGCCAGAACTACTTCCCAAACCCCAGGATGGGGAGGTTGCTGGGCAGTTGTGCAGGCTCCAAGGTTTCTGAGCAGGACACTGGGTGGCCCAAGTCAGGAACACATGGGTTCAACAGGTTTCTCTGCTCCAGTTCTTCTCAGAGCCTTTAATGGATTGCTGTGCACAAGGGCTGCCCTCTCTTGGAAACCCCTTTCCATTGGCTGCCAGGAAACAGACAAACTTGTGGCGAGTGGGATTCCCTGAGTGTCCCTGTAACCCGACTAAAATCCTTGTGGAACAAGGCAGGGTATTTTCTTTCTCTCGCGTGGTATTTTTAAAGGCTGCTTTGATACCCATCAGTAAGACTTGAATAAGTGTTTTCCGTAACGATGTTGCATGTTGCTCATCCATCCAGGCAGCATCCATTCTGGTGCTGGGCTGGCGGGGCCAAGCTTTCTATGACTGGGATCTGGAATTAGCCGTGTCTTGTGTTTTCAACCTTCCTCCCCTACTCCTGGGAGGCGAGCAGGCTCTGCCTATGGTCGCCATGTAAACTGAGGCTGCAGTTACTAAATGGTGAAGCTAGGGCTCATGACCCACCTTCAGAGCCAGGCTCCAGGCCACAAGATGCGCTCAAGGGAACCTAGATTTCCAGCTTCCTGTCCCGCCACTGCTATTTGTAGGAGAGGAGGGAGGGCCCCAAAGCCCTTGGAGAGACAAGACTGCCAGTGACTGGTCTCTCCTCAAAGATTTCACTCAAGGTTAAAGGCCCCTTTAGTGGCCAGGCAGGTCACAGTGGATAGGACAAGGCCATTGTGGGGGTTCAGCATGAGCTCCACTTCCCCAAACCATGGGGACTTCTGGGCCTACTGTGACCACCTCACTGGGGGACACAGTCTTGTTCCTGTGGGGCACCGGCGCCTGGAGCTCAGTGAGGACTTGGCCAGTCTCTCTGCCAGGGTCTCAAGGTGGCTGTGAGGACAAGGTAGACTAGGGTACATCCCAGTCCCTGGAAAGCTGGAAGGGCTGTCGCCTCAGCACTCGGGGAGCAGTGGCGGGTGCAGGTGAGGGACAGCAAGGCCTGCAGGAGGAAGGTCTGCTCACCCTCGCTTCCAGGAAGAGTCACAGGGCCCTGGGGTGGAGGCACAGCGTTCCCACCACCCTGCAAAAGTACCCGAAGACAAACCTAGAGCCAGGACTTGCACCGTCTTACGTAGAAGTACATGGAAGTTTCTGCCCAGTTTTAATGGCCACTGAACCGATTGTCCTTTCAAAGCTCACCCTGCCCTCTGGCTCCTCCATGTTCTTGACCTTTCAAACAAACTCAAGCACAGTCAGAGGGAAATACACTTTAATGTAGATTGTCTCAGGCATGTAGGTAATAAGAGGTGTGAATTTCACTGCAGGGTGGAAAGGAGCATGGTACCACACTCTGGCAGGTGGAGAGGGAGCTGCATGCTGAGGGTGGTCTGTAACCTAGTCCTCTGCCGCTGTAGTGGACCCACCTGGCTGGCCTCAGGCCCCAGCCGGCCACCACACTAACCCTGTGAAGAGAGGGGCTATTAAAGACGAAGACACACAGACAGGAGGGCTGAGCCCTTTCTCCAGGGCTGTACAAGCAGAAGGTCAAGACTGACCTTAGAGCCTGGAGGGATTATAAAGCCCAGGTAAGGGTAGCTGTAGAGTGCAGGCCCTACTGTGAGGGTAGTGGCAGAGCTGGTTTGCATCTTTGCTTCCTAGCAGCCAGAGCACAGAAAAAATGGGTTATCCCCACGGGCGTCCCAATGGCCATAAGAAAGAAGCCAGCTTTTTGGATACTGGGAAGACTTGCTCCCAGGAGTGGACGCTGCAGGAGGTGGTGGGTGAGGTGACTGCTTATAGCACAAATACCTGGAGTGGCTTTGCCGTTTTGACCACCTAAGCACAGCTGTGACTCAGGTGGGTCCAGAGAGCAGCTGCTTGCTGGCCCAGCTTGCTCGGTAAGACAGGTGGGCTAGAGGGCATGAGAGCAGGGGACCTGATGCCCCCAGATGTCCCTGTGGTGCTGTTTGGGTTCGCTTCTCACCATCACAGTTCTGTGCCCTCAAGGCGCTCAACCAGAAAGGCACCTGGTGCTTCTGAGTCCTGTCTAGACCAGTCCAGGTGGGGTTGTCCTGTCCTCATGCTCTCACGCCTCCAATCTGGGCAGAGCCTCTGGCATCGCCCCACGCTCAGGCAGCACGTAGCTAGCGCCCCTGCTTCAGATCCCAGTTCTTACCCGGGGAGACAGGAAGAAGCCGTCATGCTCAGCCTCAGGAAGGTAAGTGGCCAGGACGAGTTCCACATCACTTGTGGGCCAGGGCCCTCAGGTGCCGAGGGGGAATCCTCTTCCCACCACAGCCGCCAGGTCAGCAGTTCCTCAGCTGCAGGGGCGGAGCTGGCACGGAGGCCCCACACTCAGAGTGAAACCAGTGGCTTTGCTGCTTAATCTCTACACTCCCTGGGCTGGGACTGGGGCCAGGCCTGGAGTGGAACTGAAAGGGAGACTCGGCCTGTTCCCCTCTTGGCCTGGCCTACTTCCTCTCAGGGATCCTGAGGCTGGAGCCAGCAGAGGGGGTGGGGGTAGGCAGGACCAACTGCAGAAGCAGAAGGAAGGAATGAGCCCTCCGTCCCTTACCCTGCTGTAGACAGGAAACAGGCTCCGAGACTGGCTGGCTGTGAACGCTGCCAGGGGTGCACAGGCCCCACACCTGACTCCCAGGCTGAGAAACTGGGGTACAAGGAAGGGATGGGGAAGAGACTGGAAAGGTGAAAACACTGGGGCTGGGATTTACTAGCTGTGCCACCCCGCCGCGCTCTGTTCCCTCGACTTGTGATGTTAGACAAAGTGAGTGGTTCCTAGAGCTGCTGTTACTGTCCCCAGATGCTGTGTCCAGCAGCCAGGGCAGGATTGGGACCTGCTGGGAGGGGCCTGGACTGGGAAGAGCCTGTTTGGCCAACCCTCACTTGCCAGTCTGCCCGCTCCTGCGTGCCTACGGCATGGGGAAGCGCAGGGCTTTGGGGGTCAGCTCTGGAAAAAAGGCAGCCTCTGGGCAGAGGTAGAGGTCGGATCCCCCTAAGCCCACCTCTTGTTTCCACCCCCACCCTGTGCAATGTGTTAGGGGCTGTGCTGTTCCCCAGGTGCACCTGGCTTTCTTCCTGGCCCAGGGAAAAGAGCTGCTGGAGGCAGGGGGGCTTCCCCAACCCATCTCGGGCTCTTTCCACCATCTTATCTCCTTTGGTCTCTGCTGGAAGCAGCCAGCGACGTCTCATGACCCTGAAGAAACAAGCTTATCGGGCTTGTCACCAGAGGAAATGGAGGCGATGGGGGCAATGTAGGGTTCTAGGGTGCCCCAGAGCCTCCTGCTCCAGCCAGGCTCACTCAGGACCTGGAAGAAAGGGCTCTTGCTGGCAAAGGGCTTGGGGACCGTTTCCCACCTGCTCTGAACCGTGTGTGCTGTGGGTGTCATGGAGACCCTTGGCCCCACTGTTTTGTGAGGGTTTCGGCTGGCTGTAACGGAGCAGCTGTGCCAGGCTTTGCCCCTTCAGGCTCATTGGCAGAAGCCCCAAAAGCCTGTGGCTAAGCTACTCTGCCAACCTCCACCCTCCAGCCAAACCCTCCTACCTTGTCCTGAGACTTGAAGGCAGGATAGATTAGTAAGGTTTGGGAAATTCGAGGTTCTAGCGTTCAAAGCCTGATCTTTTCCTTAGGCAAATGGCTTCACCTCCAAGATTTGCGCTTCTTCTGGACTATGTGGTGATATAGCATCCTCTTCCCAGGGTGGCTGCTAGCCCAGGAGACCCATGCTTGTGGGGAGCTGATGGAAGGGGGGTGGTGGACTGAAGGCATCACAATGACCTGGGGCCCTAGCAGCCAGGCAGCACCAGGAGAAAGGTGGATGGGGGTGGACACTGATGCCCCCTCTCTGGGCTTGTTCAGGGGTTTTGGCTTCATAAGCTCTTTGCTCCCCAGTGGGGAGAAGCAGATGGCAGCAGGCAGGCATGTGTTGTGCTGGAATGGTGCACGTCCAGGTGAGGGGGGTTGGCTCTCAGCCCACACAGGTTTCTGGGGATCTCAGGATGTGGGGACAGTGCTTCAGAGGCTACAAGAGGACCCTCTGCGGGCTCCTGCAAGCCAGAACGCAAACTTCCTCCAGACTTGGGGTGCCTGCTGAGCAGAAAAACAGAGGCCTGGGTGGGCAAGGGGCCATCAGGGACAAGCCCGAGTAACCTCTGGGTTTTCTAGAGTTCAAAGCCCAAGCTACAAGCAGCCTGCTCCAGCCTCCAGGAGGTCCGGCGATGCACACGCCTCGAGATGCCCGACAACCTCTACACCTTTGTGCTGAAGGTGAGTGACGGAGCTTCCACACCCGGGGGAACACATGCACACATGGCTCACAGACCCACACAGCTGCTCCCTTCCTCCCACCAGGTGAAGGACCGGACAGACATCATCTTTGAGGTGGGAGACGAGCAGCAGCTGAATTCGTGGATGGCTGAGCTCCGGAAGTGCACAGGCCAAGGGTGAGGCACCAGATTCCCTTCCCATCTCAGCTTTGACACCAACCCTGCTCTTCCCAGACCCTTAACCACCCCCTTCTCTGCAGGCTGGAGAGCACAGACCCGGAGCTGCACGTTCCCTCCGCTCCAGAGCCTGGCACGGCCAGCTCTCCCAGGGGAAGCACAGATTCCCTGAACCAAGGTGAGGGGTCGGGGCCTTTGTGCTCTGGGTGCGTCAGAACCCAGCCTCAGCCCAGGTCGTGAGGTGCCCCAGGGGGGTCACCATTACACATCTTCTCAACCAGGTGCTTCTCCTGGGGGGTTGCTAGACCCAGCCTGCCAGAAGACAGATCACTTCCTGTCCTGCTACCCCTGGTTCCACGGCCCTATCTCCCGAGTGAAGGCAGCTCAGCTGGTTCAGCTGCAGGGCCCTGATGCTCACGGAGTATTCCTGGTACGGCAGAGCGAGACCCGGCGTGGGGAGTATGTGCTCACATTCAACTTCCAAGGCATAGCCAAGGTATAGCCAAGGCAGGTGGGGCTGCTCCCCCCAAGTTCAAGGCCCTTAGGGGCCACTGCCTGAGCCTCCCCTTCCTCCCCATGCAGCACCTGCGTCTGTCGCTGACCGAGCGGGGCCAGTGCCGCGTGCAGCACCTTCACTTCCCCTCGGTCATGGACATGCTCCACCACTTCCAGCGCTCGCCCATCCCCCTCGAGTGTGGATCGGCCTGCGACGTCCGGCTGTCCAGCTACGTGGTGGTCGTCTCCCAGCCACCAGGTGTGAACCCAGTGCCCCTTGATAAAGGGGTGGAGGGCCCAGGGAACCACGTAGAGGGGAAAGCTTGCTGCCGCAAACCTTCTGACATGGCCTCTTTGTCACTTGTCCCCCAGGTTCCTCCAACACTGTCCTGTTCCCCTTCTCCCTCTCTCGCTGGGATTCAGAGCTGGGCCTTCCCCACCTTAGCTCCTCCGGCTGTCCACGGGGGCTGGGCCCGGAGGGTCTCCCAGGCCGCTCCTCCCCCCAAGAGCAGATCTTCCACTTGGTGCCTTCGCCCGAGGAACTGGCCAACAGCCTGCGGCACCTGGAGTCGGAGCCTGCCAACCGTGCCCGGGACTCAGACTACGAAATGGACTCCTCCTCCCGGAGCCACCTGCGGGCCATAGACAATCAGTACACGCCTCTCTGACGGGCAGTGGACTCCCAGGCCACAGGGCCCTGAAGGAGCGAGCAGACAGGAACTGGTGAATGTACTTTCTTCCCTTCCTTTCAGAGAGAGTGAAGGGACATTAACTGCTCCTTCCAGTTTGGATGTGACCCTTCTATTAGGCCTGTTAAAGGGCCTCCTGTAAGTTCCCACCTGGCTTTCTCCTTATTGTTTACAGATGTAGTTCTTGTCCGCAGATGCCCTAGCTCCTGTCGGGCCCCCAGGACCAGCCCTGGCACTTGGGGGGGAGGGGAGAGGAGGGGGTAAGGACCAGGCTGGCAGTGGAAACTTTTCTTACTGACACTGTCACAACTGATGACAGACTT